TTCTTATTAAACGTCCCTTCCTTTTTTGTTTCACGTAGCTTAACAACGATTTGTAAGTTGAAAAACAGGATCGACTTAGCGTTTGATGTTGCTATATTGATAGTGTTGGTCTTTGCAAAAGTACGTCGCCTTGAATGAGTGACAGCAGCATGAAAAGTAATGACTGACGAATGTTAAGGTATACTTTGACGTAATTATATCCGTATACATAGTGGACGAAAATACGTTGAGTCTGCGCGCCTGACCTCATTAAAAGAGCTTTCTGTGTTTTGACTGCATAGATCAGCCTGGCTCTGCCGTTATTCGGCGAGAAGTCTGATAGGGCTCTGATTTCATGGTTATAGCTTTGCGCAGCGCGAATGCACGATGTGCACACGTGAGCGTTGACGATGTCCGAACTTGTTGCTACATCTTGAATTCAGTGCCCCGCGTCGCTTCGATCTTTAACCTCCTCCTCCTCCTCCTCCTCCTCCTCCTCCTCCTCCTCATTCTTGTTGTTGTTCTTCTTCTTCTTCTTCTTCTTCTTCTTCTTCTTCTTCTTCTTCTTCTTCTTCTTCTTCTTCTTCTTCTTCTTCTTCTTCTTCTTCTTCTTCTTCTTCTTCTTCTTCTTCTTCTTCTTCTTCTTCTTTGGCTGGTAATATCTCCGCTCGCCGTGTTTCCTTTCCGATAGACAAACATTTACGTCCGAATTGGCTGTTTCTTGTTGACGTTTCATTGATGAATCAAGTACGTGATAATAATAATAATAATAATAATAATAATAATAATAATAATAATAATAATAATAATAATAATAATACAGACTTGATGCTAGTGCATGTGATGCTGGTGTAATTGCCGTGCTAGTTGACATTTTGCACCTTCTTTGGGGATTGATTCCTCCGTTTTGGTAAGGGCCGGGACAACTGCTGTTGCCTGAAACAGAGCTTCCGAAATGAAGAGAGGTTTCGCGACTTTTCCGCTACCGGGATGGTGCGTGCGCCATGGCCTTGTTCCGTATCGAAAGACATTTCGTCGTGTAATATGGCTGCGTATTTATTCTTGGTTTTGCCTATTGTTACATTAGCAATCGTACATCCTTTCACACACACCTTTCCCCTATGTTTTTTTTTTCTTTTTACTCGAGAACTGACCAACCATGTGCACGTTAAAGAACCCCAGGTGGTATAAGCTTACCTGCGAGAAAAGGGAAGTTTGGTATAATGTGAGACGTTGGGGAGGACGTAGCTACGTATACACACGTGCCATGGTACGAGTTAATAAACATGCTCTTTGAGATGAGATACGAAGTTAACGCTTTCCAAGTTTATATTGCCTTGGAAGGACAGGTCGTGCACATTCAGTTCGCGCAGCGCTTTGCCTAGCTCGACTTGGAACTTTGTATTTTCGGAGTAGTCAAGCATCACTTTTGCTTGAGATCGGCCACTATTGTGGAGAAAGGAGGGCGCAAAAAGGGGCCCAATTCGAAGCTTTGTTTTTTTGTTGATACCGTGTTTACGGCACTTCGAGGTCCTTGATGTTAGCTTGTCGAAGGGTATACTGGCCAGTAGCTTGGCACGACTGTTTCGACCCAAATAATCACTTCTACCCGAGTGTGGTAGTCTGTTCACGGCAGGCAGAACCCCTATATACGCCTCCACCCAGGAAGCTAGCAGTATTGTCTTTGCAGGTGGGTTGCCTTCGCATTTTTTTATTGGGTTACCTTTACGCAGTTGCAATGTCATCAGGTTCGTTGTGTATTTCGTACGTCTGGGCAATTGTTTGACACGGGATTAGGGCTGGGAAAACAATCTGCTTGGATTTACCTCCATTAGCATGTTTCCTTGTTAGGTCTGCATGTGGGGCCGCGCATGTTTGGTGGTTCTCTCTATAATAAGCGGTAACTTCGTTGTACGTGGTGGTGCCTTCTTGAGAGTGAGTCCAGGGTTGGGTGGTCCACCTCCTGGTTGGTAAACCTCTGGCTGCGGTATTTCCTGTTGGGTCGCGTTCGGCTTTGAACATTATTTGACACCGTGAGAAAACTTGGTGTTCGACATATTTTCGAACCAAAAAGAATCAAGTTTTTGGCAGGTGTTTACATACTCGTGCCAAATCATTCAATGACGCCGCACGCGGGAACGGGGTCAGGCACATTTTCTCTGACAATCGCTGCCGCTTCCACAGGGTACATACCTAATGTATATAGCAGAAGTTCAACACATGAAATCACGGAGCTAGAGTGACGTTTCACAAACTACAGCGTGATTTGTGAGTGTAACGGTTCTACAGAATATACAAAGTGTAGGGTCCCGTGCTAGCTTTCACACACACAGCTTGTCACTAACGTGATAAGCAGGACTTTTTTTTTTCGCTTTATCTGTTAAGCAGTTGGTTTTGCTTGTATAAACCACGCATTAGACCGATAAGTACTGTGTACACTCGTGTAATGGCTGCATTCATGTAACAGCCGCACCCTGAACATTGTCGAAAAATCCCCCCCCCCCCTAGCATGCTTTAAAATTGTCCGTGTAATGATCTCATGTTGTTTGTAAAGCAGCATCACCCGCCGCGTAGTCACTCTTATTAAAAATATTCCGCGCCCCTACCCTCCAGTGCCTGTCCAATCATCCTCGTACGCGTAGTGACGTAATCCTGCCCGTGGGCAAATTTACCTGGTACCGACTCCATCGATTGGTTCACTGCTTTACGAAACCGCATTTTGATCTGTGCGGTGATGTGGTTTTTGGCCGCGCATTCACTGCGCTCCTTTACTGCGTCGCTATAGGGGGACCTGTCGCGTCGCTGTTAAGAAGCGCGATAAACGGTAAAAGCCCCTCTATCTTTCACGCAGAGCGGCTTTGGCGCTGAAGCTATAGGGCCACGTGGAGCAAACTTTGCTCGGTCGTTGGCTGTGTGCCGTTGACGTAGTTGCTGACGTCATGCTACGTTGCCGAAGTGGACGTAATCGCGACAGCCCTTCATGGTTGCCCAGAAGGATGGGAAGGTTGATCGAGGAACCGATACCAGCCGATGCGGGGTGTTCTACGATGTAACTTCCTTGTCACTACATTTACTTGCAATATATTTGCGGCTGCACGTTCACGTCGGTTAAGTGCGCAGTTATTGCTTCATCCAACATTTGCGATCGCGGGATTGTTTATTCGCTCTTTAAGACGGCTGAAGAAAGCTTCGAGGTCACGGTAATTTCGAACAAATTTGATAGAATGGAAGACGAGCTCACTTGGTACAAAATTGAGTTTGAGGATGCGACGAGTACGGAGGAGGAGGAAGAGGACGAAGTTCGGTTATAACGTGCGTGCCCTTGCATAACGGCTTACTGATAAGTCGGTCACGCATACAGACTGCTCTGTTCTCGCGCAGTTCGGGTATGTATGTTCGTGGACGTTACAATACGTTGGAATATTTTCTTCTAGAAGTAAACTTGTAAACAACGCCGTTGGCGTTCGATCGACTCGAAATTCCGCTGTGCACTGAGTTGCAGGTCTACGCATTATTTGTGGATGTAAAGGAAGCGTCTAACGTTAAATAGCAATGTGAAAAAGTCGCCGAAAATCCCTCATGCTGCGCATTGAATTAACGAAAAAACAAGAAAGAGAAAGGCAGGCTTTACAGGGAGCGCAACTGCACAAGCACGCACACGCTTGCCAGTCGTGATGGGTCCAGCATCTTTCGTAGTGAGTGGGCTGCGACGACTCGGTGGGGGAGGCCGCGGGAAGATTTAATGAGTGCCCATTCCAGATAGCGTGGCCCTGCAGGAATGCGCTGAACCTCGGTGGAGTTCTCTGAGTGCTCCTGCGAAGCTGGGAAGAGGGGACCAGCGTTTATAGAACCCAAACAAGTTCTATAAATGACGGTGGGGACGGTGGGAAGCTAGTACAGGAAGAAGAGCAGAAAGAAGTCCGAGGAAAAGAGACGTGGAAGGGGTGGAGAAGGCATGTCACGCTCGTTATCCAAATAGAGGGAATCTGTAGAGTGCCAAAAAAAAAAAACTAAGGAAAAAGTGGTCGGACGCTGCGAGAATGTGTGTGTGTGTTTGTGCAGCGCCTTTTCTCCTCATTATTCCTTTCCGTCTCTCTCCAGTTCGCTCTCTCTTCTTCTGCTCTTATCGTTATTTTCGGTATACCTACTCGTGAATGTCCGACCCGACGATCTTGGCGGTTTTTCTCCTTCTACACTGCTATTTTTTTATCTTGTTGTATAGACAGTTTCTCTAATTAGGTGTTCTCGTATACCATTTGCTTCCTTTGTGTGTGCGTGCGTGCGTGCATGTGTGTGTGTGTATGTATGTATGTATGTATGTATGTATGTATGTATGTATGTATGTATGTATGTATGTATGTATGTATGCATGTATGTATGTATGTATGTATGTATGCATGTATGTATGTATGTATGTATGTATGTATGTATGTATGTATGTATGTATGTATGTATGTATGTATGTATGTATGTATGTATGTATGTGTGTGTGTGTGTGTGTGTGTGCGTGTGTGTGTGTGTGCGTGTGTGCGTGTGTGTGTGTGCGTGCGTGCGTGAGTGCGTGAGTGCGTGCGTGCGTGCGTGTCAGAAAGAGAAACAGATAAGAGGGATAAAGCGCGTGTAATTCGCACATACTCCTTCGCGAGTAATTGTTCTGATATTACTTTTCTAGTTCTGCTAATTTAATCTGTTATGAAGAACGAGTTGTCCTAGCCGCAGACAACCACCCTTCGTATATCGTGCCTGCTTGGCGCGCTTCACTCGCGTCGTCGCCTGATTCATATCTGAAAATCGCCACGTGGCTGGTTATAACTAGCTGACTGTGCGCTTCTCTCTCTCAATTAGTTTTGAGGCGCTCACAAAGTGGATTTTCGCGTACGCGCACGGCGCGTTGCGGGGTCGCCTCGTGTTCCGTGGTCCGACGTTGATAACGTGCGGCTTAGCTTGTTACGTGCACCGGTCACCTTTTTTTTTTGTGTCTCGAAATTATTTTTTAACATTCTGTTTACTTTCTTTTCCTTGCAGTGTACAGGTGGAACTGCCGAGCCACCTCCGAGCCCGCGACGAGGTGAGTGCCTGCCGACTTTATTGCCTTTTACTTCGCGACACGTTTCAACACTGTCGACATTCTCTTCGACGCCCTTACTTCTCTTGGTCTTGCGCAACCAGTGTGCGGAGGCGCTAGAAAACCGTCAAGAGCCGAGCTGTCGAGCTGTGTCGCACATTTTGTCAGTATACGGTGGTATGGGACAGCAAGAAAGCAGAACATACTAAAACAAGAACAACATAAGACTACATGTGTATAGAGGCATCTGTAACTCGGTATTTTCGTTCCCAGATGAATTGAAGTGTAACGGGCAGCTCTAGTGTGGCTTTTACTATACGCGACGACACGCTGGAACGCCATTTCTGTGGCCCTCAGCGTGTATGTGTGTCTGTGGAGGGGGGAGGGGGAGTTCCACCGCATGTTCGGTGCAGTGACAATGAATTCACTGCGACGTGTCGTGAAGGGAGCCGTCTCATTGCGTGGATCACTATAACTATAGCTCACGCGCATTTTTAAACCGTTCTAAAAGCGGATAGCGTGCATTAGCCAACACATTACTACTAGCATTCGCCAATGCTAAAATTTTACGAGTTAAGAGGGTATTTTTCGCACATACTACAGACTTTCTTTTTATATAGTTTAGGGAAAATTTTAACGCATATTGTTTTGATTATAGATAGCTGAAATTTCTGGCCTTGTATCTCTCGAGGTTTCTTTTTTTTCTAAATTTAAGCGAGAACCATTTTTTTATGGTGATCCAGATGACCGTGTAAAGTCCAGACTTTACGGGCAATGTTAGGGTTGTTATTAATAAGATCAACGAGTCACATATCATTGTTATCAGGAGCCGCGTAGTGTCCGCGTGCTCAGATTTGGGTGCACGAACCCCAGGCGGTCGAAATTTCCGGAGCCCTCCTCTACGGCGTCTCTCATAATCATATGGTGGTTTTGGGACGTTAAACCCCACAAATCAATCATCATCAAGCCGCGTAGTGTACGCGGTATACGAAGATTAAGTTGGTATGGTATTGTGAACCGATACTTTATTTTGTACTGACTGTCATTTTTGTGGATCTGCTTACGTATGCTCTTTTCGTGTCTGGTCGTGTACGTATAATTGCTCTTCTATTGCAAGAAGCAACACTCCTTAGCAGCTATGGCCTTCTCCACTCACGCTGGCTACGCTCGCGTGCCTCCGAGATGCTACACAGCCTCGCGGTTGCTGCCGCGCATGGCAACGTGAAAGCGACACGTGGCTTCAGTCGCCTCTTTGGCGACGTGGTTATCGCATGCCAGCCGAGAACACGCGCGCCCACACACACACACACACACACACACACACGCTGTCGCGCACTCATCCGCGGCGCCATCAGTAATTTAAGGAGGACGCTTTTAATTATCGCCATCCAGGCCGCCTAATTACACCGTGGTTCCTGCGTGCGTGCGACTTAGGACACGTGTTATTACCGCGACCGGCGTTTGCTCGTCCACTGTTATACACTTGTTCGCGCGCATTGCCGCGCTGTGCATTACCCGGAATCGAGGTAAGTCGGGGACGGTCGGAGAGACGTGTGTTCTTTGAACGACGGGATGAACTTTTGCGCTTATAATATGGCCTTGTTCGATTATAAAGCGCGACATCGCGGAGCGTGACCCCCTTGTGATTACTCACGCCCCCCCGAGTCATCTGTGGAGGGTGCGTATGAGTGTGCGCTGGTCCAACGGTCGTCAGTGAAGACTTGGCATTGACGCCGCGGTTGGTAGTTTCACATGCCGCCGCCGACTATACGCCCCGTTCAGTCGTCCAACGTCAAGGGTTCGATTAGTAAAAGCGACAAACGATAAGAGAGTAAGATAACTTAGATTTAGGCGTGTGTTAAGCAAACCAAGCTTATCGAAGAAATTTGGCCCGCTCCGCTTGGTTGACACTGATGAAGCAGCAACTCTGGTGGCGTGCAGTATATATGGTTGAGCGAGCTTTGAAGGAAACGGGCATGACGTGTTATGAAGCGAGTTGAATGTAGTATACAAGATGAAGTGGGCGAATGAAGCTGGTGAATAAAGTGGGAGGAATGGTGGAAGAAGTGGTGGCTGTATTGGCGAGTAATGGCTGTATCAGTGAGTATATAGGGGGAGTGATAGAGAAAGAGTGTGACATATCCCAGAGAAAGAGTGTGACATATCCCTTGCGCACATATACCACAGCGATCTACAATGCATACGACGGGCCCCGGACACGACAGCCTCGACCAACAACAGCTTCGCCGTTAGAAAAAATATGTCAGATACTGAGGGAGTTCTTCACTTTGCTGCATCCCCGCATAAACCACAGCACAATTTCGGGATGTGAGAAGTCCGCGGTTGATTTTAGGTAAACTGTAATAGGTCATAGAGAAGAAGTAACCTTATACTGGTTAGTACCTGTTAACTTTCTGCTAAGCTCAGATATCAGATAGTGGTACATTGCACTCGTATATTATATCCGCACGCTTCTACCTCGGCCTCTCACTACGATAGTTCCTTTTGGTAATACAGTGTAAACCAGTTTGCACCCCTAAGAGTGCTTTTACGTGCATGTGACTAACACCGTATACGATAAGACAATCATGCCAAGAAAAGTATTAGGGATGCTATCAAATTATTATTACAGTTACTTCTAATAGCATCCCCTATAATTTCTTTAGCATTATTGTCTGTTGAATCTCATTAGTGCTTTGTGTAACATCTGTATGGCCTCATGTAGGGATGACAAGCCAGAACCTAATAGCAAGGCACGGCAGACTATGCGTTTTAAAGCTCACTAGCTCTTCTATGCTATCCAGTATTTCTTTTTTTTTTTGTGCCCACCCTTTCTTTCCATGTCTCTCCCACTTCGCAAAATATTCAGTTCACGCCAGTATAGCGCGCCCTCCTTCTTCCAGCAATATGTCACTAACTACATTTTTGCTGTCAGGAAATTATATAGGCTGTCGCTGTCGTGGTCATTGTGAACCCATTTACAGCCCACGCCAAAACGCCTCGCAACGCCCACCATCTTTTTTTTTCTTTATGTTTTTACCTCCTCAGGTTCTTTCCAATTTGGCTGTCACGTTGACGCCCAATAAACTGTCGTTTTGGGATCCAGTTAGACAACTCTTCCAGTTTTTACGACGTCTCGTATCTTCATAACCGACCATCGCTAACGCGCTGCCTTTGTGGGTGATAATGTTTAGCTATAAGAAGTCATTCAGTTCGAGGCCTCGGAGAGCGGGAACTAGAGATGGCAGTTTTCGGCCGATGACTCGAACTCTCAGGCAGCGTGGAAACATCAAATGAAGCCGTTAGAACGCCGTTAGGTGGATAATAATACGGTCCCAACGGGACTATAGACACGTTGGAAAGGCCTTTGACGTTTTCTTTTTCTCGCGGTATACTCTCCAACTCGACTGTCGTGTCGGGTGCCTAATAAGTGTCTGCGTCAAATCTAATTAGACAGCTCGCCTCGTTTACGGTGCGTCTCGTAGATCAGCCGCGATTCCTTTCAGGATGATGGCTCCGTGTAGTTTTTATTAAGTCTGTCAGCGTCGCGCCTCGCTTTCCCGGTGACGTCAATCGGCTTATTAGCCCGGTATTGGCCGTATATATATCCACACGCGTTGCACCCCTTCCCGTGCGACGGATTCTGTAATTGAGTTAATTACTCCTTGGCGACGGGATGTCGTCCTCTCTTCCGGCGACGCATCGTTCGTAATGCTGTCGCTAATGTCCCCGTGAACCTTTTTACGTGATTGTAGCGGGAAAAGTTTCGTGTTGCCCGTGTGCCCACTCGGCTGCCTGTCTTCTAGGGTTATATGTTACTTCATACATTGGATATCCTACGCTGAGGTACCGATGGAGGATCGATGATTAAGGATAGTGGGAAAGAGATCGAATGCCGCTCTAACGTGTTTACGACCGCAAAAGTGGATACGAGTGTCTCGTTCGTAAAATGAGCTCTGTGATCGAAGAAGATACCTGTCAGGCTTGCGTCAATATTTCGACCAATTGGGGTTGTCGAAATGGAAATGCGGACAAGGGCACGTTTGACAGATCATCTAGCCTGGTCTTCATAATGTATCGACGACCATTCTGTATACAGCTCATGTGTCTTATATGTCTAGGATAATATCTACTATTGCAACGACGCTGATACAAATTGTATATTGTACATATTGCTCATACACTTGTTGTACTTACTGTGGACGAGTTCTTATTGAAAATGCATATTGCATGTTTACTATTATGGGCTGTACTATTATGTACTACTTACCTGTGAAAGCTAGGTGTGCGTGTACTCGGCGATGGCATGAAGCGCAATTTGAAGAAATTTCTGGTGCTCTCCGCCACGGCATCCTTCGTAATGATATCATGGCTCTAGCGCGTAAAATCCTACAAGTTGTTAGGTGTACGTCAATTCTTTGGTTAGGTTTGTTGCGTGCATTCAACTAATGCACGCAACAAATGACAGCCCGACGTTACAACATGTTTGTTTAGTAATTTACACTTAATTAATGTTGCTAGCCAATGTTCAGGCTGCATGGTATATAGAGGCGCATCGTTTTTGGTCTGTTTCGTCTATGCGATGGTGGTCTATAGAACAGGCGCTGGCGCTGCTGCCTTGCGGCCTCCAGAACGACTTCATAACCCCTCCCTTCACTCTCCTAGTCACTTCCCATCTCGAAAGCAAAATTATCATCTCGACTGTAAAGGAGCTGGTGTAAGCAATCACGATTGCTCTTCCCATTTAAATAAACGTGATTTCTATTGCAGTTTTGTGCATTGTCAGTTTGCAAAATCTTTTTTCTTGTCCCTGTCTGCTAACCCGCCGCCACCTCTTCTCCCGAATAGCCTTAATTCTGGCCCCCGCCGGGTTCATGCGGCCTCGTCCCTCCTCGTCAAGAGGTCATTGTAGAACACAGTTGGCTATTTACATTTCATCATACTTCTGCCAATTAAGCGTGGAGTTGCAAAATGATTTTTAAAAATTGTGTACTAATCGTGCG